CTTCCCGGCCAGTGTCACGGTGAGAAGTTATTTCATATCATTTTGTGTGTTAAGAGTGTACAAGTGTACATGCTTTTTGCTTGGCTGTTTTCTGTGGCAGGTTAATAAATGACACTTATTACTCCTAGCAGTAACAGCCTCTGGTGTTTTTATTTTTTCCATCTGGTCTGAATATCTGTGCCGACCGTTCACGAGCCCTTTTGATAAAGAATTTCATAATACACTGCCCGCCTGAAAATATCGCTCCAGGCGCCGTGGGAGACGTGCCGGCTGTCTCGTGAGGATTAAAGCCAGCCTCAAGCTCTCTGCTGCTTCATCATCTGCTACTGACCATCAGACGTTAAACTGTCCATCCGGATGCTTCGCTGACCCACTCAACTCCAGCTCGCTCCAGGTGCCCGGGCCTGGTACGCGCAGCGGGTGCACGCAGAGGGTGTGCGCAGCAGGCGCGCGCGCGGCTGCGGTGGTTTCGGCCGTCTCCAGAGGAACTTAACCAACTCAGGTCCTTCTGCTGCATCATCTTCTGCCGACCATCTGCTGGATATTTGCCTGTCCGGGTGCTTCGCTGATCCTGCTGGGTCCTGCCTGATCCCCGTAGTAGAGCCTGGCTCGCGTCGCGGGCACGCGCACAGCTGCAACGTCTCTGGTCCTTGGAGGCGCGGTTCAAACTCCAGAAGTCTGAAACAGCTGATCTGTGCTCCAAGCACAACTTTTCCTTCAGCTACTGGTTCTACAAAGATTGCTCTGCTGAATGTGAGGTCACTGGCAAATAAAACTTTTATCTTAAACGATTATTTCTGCTCCAATGGACTGGACTTCATGTTTGTTACAGAGACCTGGCTCGTCCCTGATGAGTTAAGTGTTTTTTCTGAACTTTTGCCGGTAGACTGTGCCTTTTTTAATGCTCCAAGGACTTCTGGTAGGAGTGGTGGAGTATTAACAGTGTTTAAAAAGCTCTGGAACTGCAGACAGCTACAGACTGTGACATTTCAGAGTTTTGAACTTCTGTATTTTGAGCTGGGCCGCTCCAACCCAACACTGTGCAGCCTGATCTACAGACCACCCTCATACAATAAAAACTTCATAAGTGAAATTTCTGACTTTCTGACTGGAATACTGCTCAATTACGACAGGGTCTTGAGTCTGGGAGACTTTAATGTGCCCGTTTGCTGTCCTGACAAGCCTCTGGTGCAGGAGTTTCTAAATATGATCCAATCTTTCAACCTTGTGCAAAATGTTGTTGGTCCAACTCATCAACAGGGCCATACACTTGATTTAAGCCCCTTATCCACGGGGCTTTTTGGTACTCCTATGTAACTAGTTGTGGCCGATTGCGTGTTTTATCAACAATGCCTCTAGTGGCGGAACCCACCCCATTTTTGGGACCTAAATCTCTGAGGTCCCAGGTCTGGTTCTTGTAGGGTCTAGTTGTGACATCAGCGCACTGTAGGTCACTGATTGGTCAGGGGGCGTATTCATTGGTGGAGGGCGGAGATTCAGTCTTCCACCGGAAATCACAATCCACCATTTTCTTTTTCACCCGCATAACAGACAACAAGAAATCGGAGGAGCTTATTTTGGAATATTTTATAAGGTAAAACAAATAATCATGGCACAACCGTGGTCGAATGCTGAAGTTCAGGCATTTCTCGGTTTGCTGGCCGATGAACAAGTGCAGCGCGAGCTAGATGGAACGAAACGAAATGAAGATTTTTCAAGAGGTGTCTGCGCAGATGGCGGTGCAGGGCTTCCATCGCACACCAAAGCAAAGAGGAAAGCTTAAAAAACTAATAGTTTATGGTGAGTGTATTTTATTTACTTTAAGCATATTTCCTTTTCCTCAT